GAGATTTATTTCCCCTCGCTTAGCTCTAAGCGGCAAACGAATCACGCAATACTACCTAGCGTTTGGACCCTACAACTAGATGCATGAATAACAAGTCACCAGTGATGGCCGTCTCATTTCGGTCTCTTTCCTTCCCTACATTTTCTCGTATCCAAAGCCGATTATGAATCAATTAATTACCTCCTGGTTGATACCCTCGAGCTCCTTCTCTGAACGCTCCAAATGGGAACTGAGACCCGAGGCCTTCACTTCCAGTCGCTTCACTTCTCTTCTCAACACATCTGAATCCTCTTCTCGATCGAGAAACTTCGAAAAGATCGAATCTCTCTGATCCCCCACGGACTGGAAATAAAGCCGGCCGGCATCTTTCGCCGAACAGCTTTGCTTGCACACAGGACAGTTGCACTTCTTCGAATTCGAACAATACTCGAACCATTGCTGCAAACTAGGGTTTCAAGCACAAAACCTATTAATCGAATATCAGTTAACTTTTAAACACACAATCACACGCAGGAACGCATACAAATATCTCCTTGTGCAATTATGGAACGGTACTGACCATAGTTCATGGAACACGTGACCGCAAATGGAGATTGACTGGAGGTCTTCGACAATCGGCTTGAGATCTTCGTAACAGATCGAGCAAATCGTTTTGCCAATTGCACTGGCTGTACTCATGTCTCTCTGGCCGTCTGTCTTCGATCTCCACTTTTTCCAGGCCCTTGTTTTCTCTATTCACTTTCTCGCTCCTGCTCTTTTTCTCGAGAAAACATGGAGCGAAATTTGAAAAGACAGGAAAACAAAACAAACGGGAGCGGGAAGAAGCGAAAATGTTTCGCTCCAATTCCAAACTTGTGAAGAAGCGTGTGTAGAAGCCACGTGTTCTTTTGTTTTAGATGAAGAAGTGTAATCAGTAACATGCGCCCTAAATTCGATAGAGATTAAATGTCTGAATACATTCGAATTAATTTTATAAAATTTTTTTTCCTTGTGATTCTTTTAATTTTGAACATTTTTAAGATCACTCTATATCCAATAATTTGTGTTAATATATCTGTCATGTGTTATTAAATTTAATATAATATATGATATTAGTTAATTAAATATTTGTTTAATAATATATAAAGTGACATTTAACGTGAAAATAAATTATTTTTTAATCAAATATTGAAATTAAGTTTAAAATATTATTGTCTTGTTGTTTCACGCAAAAATCCTGTTAATTAAATTTAATATTTATTTTATTTTAATTATTTATTATTTTATAAAATTAATAAATAATAAGAACCTCCTCTACAGAAATTATACCTATCATCTATAATGGCCATACATATATATAGAAAGTTGTGTCCGTCTATTTGTTGTAATTTATCAATTCAAATATTTATAAATTAGTTAAAAATTAATATCAATGTCTAATTTTTTCTCATCTCATATGGGTTTTTTCTTATTTTTCTTCTATCGAGTTACAACAATTGTATTATAATCTTTTTATATTAAAATATAACAACTTTATACAACAAACAATATATAAAGAGAGAATAAGTTGATCAAACGAACTGAAAAATTAATTGGGGTCCACATTGATGCCAATATATATATATGACTTTATTAATGTAATTATTAATATGTTAAACTGTTTTGTGATGTAAAGTATTTATCTATATGTGAAGTATATATATATATAAATATATATAAAAGGAAAATAAAAGAATTTTTGTTGATCCACATTTAATAATTTGAGCTATTGGTTTAAATACACTGTAAAAATATGTTTAGAACAAAATATACATGTACAAATGTATTATAATATCTATGAGCATATGTTATTGTACTGTAAAATTTTTAACAATTGATTCTATTATTATACTTTAAATTCCATGTATATAGTTATATATACATAAAATAGTTGTGTTTAAAATATTTGAAAATTTAAAAATATTAGATTCTGATACCAGAACAATATAATATTAAAAAAATAAAAATAAAACAAACATGTTAAAAAGATAAAAGTTAAAATTACTGATTTCAAAAGAAAATAAAAATATGCATTAAACTAAATAATAAACTTAAAAATAATATGTACATTTATTTATATGTATCACCATTTTATACGTATTCTAATAATTCAAAAATTACCCTTCAATATTCTAATAATTTATATTGTACACGTATACGTATATTTAAACACTAATATTTATTTTATATTATTCATATAATTATATTATTTTAATGTAATAATAGCAAAAATTCTCCCATTTTTTATTAGTATACACGCATTACTTACTATATTAGTATAAAAAAAATACAAAATTACTCATTAAAATTTAATATAATTCTCTCAATAATTTAAACGATATAAAACAATGGTAATTTTTTAAATTATCCAAAATTATTTTATGTCATTTTTTCAATAATTATTTTAAAAAATACGATGATAAATTAGAATATTAAATATATTTAAATTAAATTAGATATAATATATTTAAATAAATAATTGCATATTGGGAGATTATTTTAAATATAATTGCACTAATGTAATGAGACAAGAAGACGTATGTACTATTTGATCATTATCAGTCAAATAAGTGAATACAAATTATAACTTGTTCATAGTGCTACAAAATGGGGCCATGGTAAATAATTTTGTTGGATTCATATTCTGTTATCTTTTATATAAGATTCTATGAATCAATAATATAGCCTATACTTTATAATGTAAACACAGTTAATCTGCTACATAATAATTTTCTAAAATCTGCTACAAAATAATCTTTCCAAATGGTTCTCTAACAGGTGGGCTTACCCAAGCGCACCATAGCGGCGAAGAAAACAAGAAGTGTATCGACACGAAATCTCTAAAATACCATCAAAATTATCGCCTGGTTCTTTGGCAACTGGAGGGTAAGATGGTCATTTGGTTCAGGAAGAATTTCATTGAAATTTTCGTTGAAGAACAGTCTGTTCTCTTCTCTCTTCCTCTTTCTCTTTCATCTTGCTCGATCTAGCCAACCGAAGCTTAGAAGAAAAGGCGAGCTCTTTGACAATCTTTTATTTGGCGCTGTCACTCATTTGTTAAACGCGAAGAGGTACTATCTCTCTCTTTACAGTTTTCCGTTTAATCGCTGTACGAGATCGAGGTAGAAGAAAATGGAAACAAGTAATTGTCTTCTAATTTTAATATCCTTTTCGCGTTGTCGCTTCATTTTCTGCTATAGGTTGTAGTTCCCATTCGATTGGTTGATTTTGGAGAAACACAGAAGTGAAACTGTGGAATTGAATCCCAAACGTAGGTCGTTCATTGAAACGCGATGTTTTTTTTAGCTGAATTACTAATTTAGCTGTGATTAGGCATCTAATTGAAGATACGAATTTCGTTTACTTGGTTGTTTGGTTCCCGAGAAAATTGAGGAAATTAATCGTTTTGTCTTGCATGTTTTTTTTTTTTTTTGAGATAAGATTGGTTATGCAAATTAGTTGATCAAAAGTACAACAGTAAAATAGCATAAATCTGTGAAGTTGTTCAACTGATCCAGTTAGAAAAGAAAAGGATAATGTTACAAGTGAAAAAGGACTTCCTGGTTAAAATTAAGAATTGTCATACGGATGTAGATGTGACTTTCATTTGCCTATTATTCAGTAGTTGGGGCTTAAACCGAGAGCTGCACGTCTACTATTCTTTTGCTTTAACTGTTTAATGAGAAATGTATTGTGGATTGGGTTTCTTCTCTTGACTTCTTTTGAAGTATTATATGTAGTCTATATCTGCAAATGGTGATCTTGTTGTAATGTTCTCTGAAGATACTTTCAGCAAACAAGATGAAAGATAGTAGAGATGGAACCAAGACTGATAGAAAGTCAAGAACTTCGTCTGTTAGCTCCATGCCTCTCATTCTAGACATAGAAGACTTTAAGGTACTGTCTCGAACTACAGATTCTCATATCTCTTTACACAAATGTTGCTAGTTTCCACTGTATTTTTTTCTTTAATTGGTGAAATGATTAAATGTCAAAATCCATTGTGTAGGGTGATTTTTCCTTTGATGCATTGTTTGGAAACTTAGTAAATGATCTATTGCCATCTTTCCAAGAAGAAGAAGCAGATTCAACAGAAGGACATGGTGGCATTGGTGATGCTTTATCGAATGGTCATATCCGTGCCCCATCTGATGCTGCCAAATTTTCACAGGGACTCCCTTCCCCTTTATTTCCAGAAGTAGATGCTCTTTTATGTCTGTTCAAGGATTCGTGTAGAGAGTTGGTGGATCTCAGAAAGCAGGTAAATCTTGAACTAAGGGAATTGCTTACCTGTTAATTTATATTTTGCGTTGGTGTTTCCTTTTTGGTTTTCTTTTTCTAATTTTGAAACCATTTTGGGTTGAAGATTGATGGAAGACTGAATAATCTTAAGAAGGATGTTTCTGCGCAAGATGCTAAGCACCGTAAAACTCTTGCTGAGGTCAGTTACAAATATGCCAGTCAGTGAAAATAATCTTCCTAAATATATTTTTAATTACTTCAAAACCTTTTCTTGATCTGGTGGGACGGATATTTGAAGATGTAAATAGAATGACTTCACCAATTCTATTTATCAAGAAGTGTCAAGCATCTTTTCAAATCTGTATCAGTCCCTTTTTATCTATTAATGATTGATTTTTTAGCTATTCATTTGAATTGCTGTGCCGAATTTAAGTTGATTATTTTTCGTATCTTACTTGGAGAAGATCAAACAATTCCCAACTGGTCAAATGGTTCTAAATAGGTCTATTTCAGATATCAAACCGAAGGTTCTTTAATGATTGAAGTACTTATACCATAGAATACTGGATGATCCTCTATATGATCATTAATTATTGTTGACTTATGATTTTGATGGAGTTTATTGTATATCCTGTTTCTGCTGGAAAAAGGTGTGGATGGTTTGTTTAGTAGCTTTGCAAGGTTGGATGCGCGTATTTCGAGTGTCGGACAGACAGCTGCAAAAATAGGAGACCATTTGCAGGTAAAAAATTGTCCTGTGCTCAATAGCTCTCTTGTATCATTGAACTGCACCAACATGTTGTTTTCTTGTCAGAGTGCAGATGCTCAGCGGGAAACTGCCAGTCAAACAATAGATCTCATAAAGGTGCCAAATCTCATATATGTATATATATAAATATATTTCTGATAAACATGTGATATTGGTATATTTTGTTTTTTTCATGTTGGTCTGACACATTTTATACTTAACTATTGCAGTACTTGATGGAGTTTAATAGCAGCCCAGGTGACCTGATGGAACTTTCACCCCTGTTTTCTGATGACAGCCGTGTAGCTGAGGCTGCTTCAATTGCACAGAAATTGCGTAAGTTGGCTTTAATTAAATGTTAAATTTTACTGATTATGCATGCCTGAAAGCTCAATTTCACTTTGAAATTATAGCTTTTATATGGAGATCTTAGTTTCTCTTTTATCTCTACTGAAGTTATCTCATGAGTTCTTTATGAGCTGAGCTTGTAGGATAAGGTTTTGCAGCTTCTCTATTATGGTTCTAGTTTCTTTCGTTTCTACTTAAATGTATGGGTAAGACCAATCCAAATAAACCATAAGGAGTCTTGAAGTTTTCTTCTATAAGTTGATCCTATTCTCATTTGAACCAGTATCTGCTATCTGGTAAACCATATAGTATAATTCCAAATTGTTTACATCCACTTATAAAGATATTGAATGTACTTTTCTTAAACTATCACTGATTCCTGCGGAGACTAGGTAACTGTGCTTCGTGTAGTATATCGCTGCAAAACATGAAAGCATGTGTTCCCTCACCAATTTCAAGTAAATGGAAACGATATTCCCACAGTTTATGCTACCTTTATATTGTTGAAAAACTAGTTCCAGTTGTTGGCTTGACTAGGCACAAACCAGAGAAATAAATGGAAGCCATCAAGATGCACAAAAGAAAAATGGAGGCAAACTAACTAATGCGGTTCTGCTCTGTAGCTAATTTCATGTACAAACATGAAACTAGCTAACACAGTTTGACTTTATATCCAATTTCATGGACAAACATGATAGAGAAACTTTACCATAAACTTGGAGGATTAAAAGAATGGTTTCAGATACTATCATTCTCAAACCCCGGTCTCAAATACATCACTCTTATGAAGAAATCGTTTGAAGATATAAGTTTCACTGGTTATACACACTAGAGAGATTACTACCTTTCTTGATCACTCTACATCACCACTCCTTCACTCTTGTTCACTTCATTTGTGGGATCACTTTTGCCCATGCATTTTTGTGCAAATATACCTGGGCATTATAGGAGAAAATCACAAATTCTAGCCTCTAATTATGCTGAATGAATTTCTGCTGCCCTCCATAAATCTTGCATCATGAATGTTTTTGGTCCATCTGCCATGGCAATTGTCACCACCTAGTATATCTCAACTGTGGATCTCAACAAAGAAAGAGCCAAGTGATGGAGCATGAATTTTGCTTCAAGGTAAGAGCTGAAAGTCTGATGGCCATTTCCTTGGTTTTTGCCAGCCAGTTCACACGGGCACTGGTCCAATGACTTTTATGGCCTGTAAAAGAGGCCATTAGATTATAGCAATATATTTGTCAATTAATTTGTTCCTTTTTGAAATAATATTTTTCAATTAACCCATATTTTAACCCTGTTTCGTTTCTATTATTGGACTTTGTAATGGTTTATTTTGTTGTAATTAGTAGCAATTATTCTTACAAATTTTTTATAGGAAGAATTCTTGCTTTCAAATGTTTGCATGAAACAATGGATCATGTGATTAATCCTCAAATTATTTTGGTAATGTCGTTCCTGCAATGGAGAGTAAGTTGTTATTTATATTAGCCTTCAAATATCTGTCTCATGATTCTCTGGCCAAATTTCTTCCTTCTCTATTTAGGATCATTTGCTGAGGAAGATATTGGAAGACAAAGCATAGCTGTGCCATCTGCTGTGGGTAATGCAACTGCTAGCAGAGGATTAGAAGTTGCAGTTGCCAATCTTCAAGACTACTGCAATGGTATAGTAGCTTCTCTTATAATGTTTGTGCTTGTTATTATGAGGAGGCCATAAATGCAGGAAAACTATCTCTAAACATGCATCTTTTATTTGAAATATAAAGTGTGAAGTATATTAATATACGGCACCGAAGGGGTGCCAACATCTATACAAAATATTTACAGATCTACCAAAATATCAATGAGATCTCCTAGATCCTTCATAGAGTTTAGAGGATGACCCAATAACAAGAAAGTAAGGATCTAAACATGCATATTTAATTGATCGATATGATTCAAGTAGGCATTTGTTAAATAAGAAACTGATTATATTTTATCGGGGTAATATTGAAAAGCACCTGAAAGTTTTGTATTTGTATTAGATTGCACAGTTCATTTTTAATTGTAATAATGTGCATCTTACATTATACTCTTATATCAAATAACTCCTGTTAATAGAAAACTGTTAAATATAATTTTTTTATATACATGGCACTTTGAGCAAATAAAAAAAATACATGTCTAGGGCATTTTGTCCAATAAAGATATTTATAAATTGGAAAAGAAGTTTAAAATATATACAACGCAAATATCCACTTTTGCAGTTTCTTCTTCTTTGTCTTCCAACTGCTCTCTCCTCTTTCTCCTTCAATTTATGAGAAACATATCTGAACAAAAGATACATGATTTGAAGTACTTTCTTCTTCAATTTATGAGAGACATGTAGTGGAACAAAAAACGTGTTTTGAAGTACTTCCAGAATGTAGCCTATTAAAAAAAGAATTAAATATATCAGTTTATTGATAGAAGATTACAACCAAGGACACATCGTCTCAACAAAACCTGAACCCAATCCACAAACCCTCAACACCTGAGAGCAAAGCAAAGGTAAAACAAAATTCTAACAAATTACAGAGTCCATGTAACGTAAGCCAAGGGCTCTATATATTTCTGAATCACAGTTTAGAAAAACATGTACATTAGTCCTGGAAAAAAATTATAAAGATCTAGACTCAAAAGCTTCAAAATACAAAAGCAGCTTCATCCATTGAGTTTTAGATTTGGCACAAAGAACAAGTCTCATCGAAAGTTGTCTGGACCACAAGGCAACCGGAAATATAGAAGCAACAACCCTCTGAAATTTCTTTGGCCAGAATGCCTAGAATAAAATTCGCTTGAGCACTAATTAGATTTGGGCAAGTATGGGGAGCAACAATAGGAATCATCCATAGAAAGGTAGAATTTTGTCCAAATCAATCCAGATTTGAGCAAGCTAGTCCTCTCATAGCTTTCATGTTTTTTCTAGCTTGCAAAGAATATCTGTTTCTAACAATAGAACATGACACAAAAGTAGTTGAAGTAGATCTCTGCTAGAATGATAAGAAGAAGTAAGTGATGATAGCTGGAAAAAGAAGAAGAAATTGTGAAAATGAATTGATGGTTTCTTTTTTCTGTGAAATTATTTTTTAATATATAAACATTTTTTGGACAAAGATATTGCTCAGAGTGTCACATGTACAAAAAGGTTAAAGTTAATGGTTTTACTTAACGGAAAGGATGGTTTAATACAATGTTACGGTGCAGGATGCACATTGTTACATTTTAAAGTGTAGGTGTAGAATTTGGAGAAAAAAATAATTTTTATTCTCACCCTTTAAGTTGTAACACCTGGGTATTTATAAAGTCTTTAAACTACAAATTAAGAAATAACTATTTTATTAGAATTCTAATTACATGATACCAACTAATAATTAAAATACTTAAATAATAAATTATACTACTCAAACATTCCTCCTCAAGTTGGTGCAGGGATATCTCTCATGCCCAACTTGCAGTTTACGTTTTGATGAGTCATCTTGCAATTTACCAGTGTCAATCTTCTTTTGTTCAAAGATTCTGATTTTACTAGATTTGTTGCCTCTGTAGTTGATGAATAGTTAAATTGAGACAGAATACGCTTCAGGGTTCGAATCTCTTCATTCAAAAAAGCTCCAATTGTTGGTATGTCAGGTATTTCACTTTTCTCAACTAACTTTTCTTGAACTCTCGTAGGTCCGCCATTATTTCTCTCACTACCTCTAGTTGGCTTTCCATGCAACTTCCAGCAAGTCTCTCTTGTGTGTTTTGCCTTGCCACAATAGTCACATCTCCGTAGGTACTTGGATTGTTCAGACTGAACAACTAATCCAAGTTTTTCGACTGGTGTTATATAAAATATGACATTCTTTCTATTTTTTTCTTACTGGACATAGACATAAGTTTATTCTAATGAAGGAAAATGATTTTTACCAAGCATCTAGATCCGTATTTGATCATATTTGGTGTTCAAACCAGTTTAGAAATAATAAATTCGTTCTTTTTCTATCAATTTCTGAAATTTAATTGCATATGTAAGACAATCTGCTTGAAAGCCTTGATAGTAATCTAATTTCTGTCATAATCCACTCAGTTCAGAAAAATATCGTGAAATAATCATCTTTCATTGATTTGGACCATGAATTTTATTGCGGAGTTTATAAATTTGGACATCATTATCCACTTGTGAATATGTAAGAGATGCCGGGTTCTATATTTTTGTTGAATATCGAGTAATAAATATGTTCGTGCAATATGTGGTTGCATGGAATTGCTTAGCCAAGACATTGCCAAAGAATTTTCAGAGTCCCATATGTTATATTTCAAATCATCTACTTCTGGTTTCTTCATATCACCTGTAATGTACCCCTGCAATCCTCTAACTTTGATGAACAATAAATAAGATTTTGATCAAATAAGATAATTAGTTCTATTAAGTTTTACAGAATTTGTAATTTGCACCAAAATAGCAAAAAAAGACAGAAAATACTGAAATTAGATATGTCTGTCTCGGCTCAAAAAACGACTTGGCTTAGCTCAGAAAACGGCTCGGCTCAGCTGAAACTCGGCTTGGCTTAGTGCAGGTGGCTCGGCTCAGGCTGAAATTAGCTCGGCTCAATGCAGCTGGCCAGAAAAACTCCTTGCGCAAGGTCTGCGTGCGGTGAAGGGGAAAACTTGTGCCCAGTAGAAGGCCGGTAGGTCGCGGCTAGAGGCTTTGTACGATTGGAGTGAGGCAGATTCTCTGCACGCGGAGGATGAAGAAACCAGAGGTTGTCGCGCAGCTCTGCGTGCGGCTGAAGAAGAAGGAAATATTGGTGCCCTGTGCGACTCTGCGTGTGGCTGAAGAGGGAATTGGGTTGTGTGTCTCTGCGCACGGCTGAAGAATAAGGAAACCTTGGTGCCCTGTGCAGCTCTGTGCACAGCTGGAGAAGGGAACTAGGTCGCGCGTCTCTGCGCGCAGCTGAAGAAGAAGGAAACTGAGAGTGTCTTCACATCTCTATGCATGGTGGAAGAAGGAACTGGGCCACGCGGCTCTGCGCGCAGTGGAGGAAGAAATCGGCTCGTCCTTTGTGCGGCGTTGCACGCGGTTGAGGAAGGATCTGGCTGCCTTCTCCCTTCCTCTGATCTTTCCTCTCTTCCCCCTTGTCTGGCTCTCTTTCTCCTCAGCTTCCTTTTGTTGTTTTAGGGTTTTAAAAAAATCCTAAAAATAAAACCTCAAAATACCCTTATTTTGCTCTAATACCATGTAGAATTTGGAGAAAAAATATAATTTTTATTCTCATCCTTTAGGTTGTAACACCTGAATATTTATAGAATCTTTAAACTAATAATCTGGAAGATGATTTGTCCATTTCAGAACTGGACAGGAATAGAGTCCTTTTGAATTACATGGGTTTGCACCCCTTGGTGCCTGTGAATGAATACTGTTTTTATTTCAAAAAAATGTTAAATGAGTGTAGAACCTTTGAATCCCTTTGAAAAATACGTTAGAACCTGAAATACTCATCTACATGAGTGGGATAGAATAGATTCATAGAGTAGCTTTAATATCCTTATCATTTTATAGCCTTTTTCATCCTTTCTGATGGTGTTCTATGTCCATCTTGTAGAACTGGAGAACAGATTGTTGGCTCGTTTTGATGCAGCATCACAGAGAAGAGAACTGTCTACCATGTCAGAATGTGCTAAAATTTTATCTCAGGTATTTGCTTAGAAGGGTAGTTGGTCATGTTTTTGCCTTATTGATTCCACCTTCTCCGCATAATAATCTCTTATGCTGTGCATCTATTCATGTGCACATGTTTTCTTTCCCCAACCCCGGAGTTATTCATTTGAATATGAGAATCAATTGAACTTGGTAGATTCGGCCCTTGGTTTTAATTTGCATTTTTAATAAATCTCTTGCTACTAATTCTGTGCAAACATTGGACTTGGATGTTAACATCACTATGATATTTGCCTAATCTTTTAATTAATTTGGGATACTTGCTGCTTGGAAATCATCTTGTTGGTTTTATGGTCCTTCTTCTCTCCCCTTTCTATTGATTCTTTTGGGCCTTGGCCTTTTTCTTGAAAGAAGCTTTTTTGTAGTGAAATAATTTTTTGGGCCGTGGCTTATTCTTTAGAAGTTTCTAACTGCACATATTTCTATTTATTGGTAAAAAAATGATGTCCCAGGTGTTTGTAAGTGATTTTGAAGAAGTTAAAGAAGCTTGTTATATCATATATATGATGCTACAGAAGTAAATCTAATCAGGACACTCTTGGCTCATTAAAGTTGAAGATGAAAATATAATATTGTTACCTATGTTGTTGTTACCTATATGTTGCATAGGTATTGCTTCTCTCAGAATGGTTCTGTTCTACATTACTTGCATGGATGTCTAGAAATATGCTAGAAGAATCATGCTGTTAGTTCTGTGGATCTGCATACTGAGATCTGAATAATGGAAGGAAATGGATGCAAAGGAAATGTTTTAATCTCTATCCTTTTACCAGATCAGTAGAGTTGTCTGTCTTTGCTTACTTTTTTACTTTTCAAAATTCAGTTTAATAGGGGAACTAGTGCTATGCAACATTATGTGGCAACCCGTCCAATGTTCATCGATGTGGAAGTCATGAATGCAGACACCAGATTAGTCCTTGGTGACCAGGCTTCTCAACCTAGTCCCAGCAACGTTGCTCGTGGACTCTCTTCTTTATACAAGGAAATTACAGGTTTGGAGGATAATTGTTGTTCCAAATGCAGATTCTTCCAATGGATTTGTCATATTTTGTTCTTTTCTTGTAGATACTGTGCGAAAAGAAGCTGCCACAATTATGGCTGTTTTTCCTGCCCCTAATGAAGTTATGTCAATTTTGGTTCAGGTACGCTGCAAGGCATTGATCTTTATGGTTTTCATGTTATTCACTCAAATCAGCATGGCTTAAGACAGTTGTGTTTCTAATTATATATTTATAACTAGTTTTCAAATCTTGTGTGCAGCGAGTTTTAGAACAGCGAGTTACAGGTATTTTAGACAAATTGTTGGTGAAGCCCTCTCTTGTGAATCCACCTCCTATGGAAGATGGGGGGCTTTTGCTAGTGAGTAGAATCACTGAGCTTCAACATTTTTTCTAATTAAAATGCCAATCAATCGAGAAAAAATAATGACTTCATTCATATTTGACTTGAGGCTTCAGTATCTTAGAATGCTGGCTGTGGCATATGAGAAGACAAAGGAACTTGCTAGAGATCTACGAACGGTTGGGTGTGGTGATTTGGATGTTGAAGGTAAAAATTAAGTTTCTTTTTATTTCCAAAAGAAAAAGTTCCTTTTCCTTGTGAATTTGAACTTCCTTCCATTATTGACCCTATGGCTTAGGAAAATGCTCATTCCACAGAAAAACTATGAGCCGAGAAAGAGATTAGTTTTCTTATAAGTCTGTCAGTATTTTTGCCTCATAACAACTTGTCAGTGAGCTTTATGCTTATGATCTATGATATTCAAGAGTATGTTTGGTGGAGGGAAGGGGATGGAAAAGAAGGCAAATGTAGGAGGCCTTGCTTTGGAGATTTTTGTGCTGGAATGAAGTGGAAATGAGGAGATTACCTTACTCCCCTGCAAATCTTCTCCCTCAAATTCGGGGAGAATGGATTTGGAAAGTGTAGGGAACTTAATTTTTTTTTTTTTTCTGGTGATAAACTATCTTTTAGATATCTTTAAAACCCAAAATTCTCCACCTGTTCCCTTTTAGAAAGAAAAAGGAGATCTTCCTTTCTGCCCCTCATTCAACTAGAGAAAACTAGTCGCCTCTCATTTGCATTCCATTCTTTCCCAAGTAATATTACTAGTTTTCATTCTGTTCCTTCCTATTCTGTTTGAATACTTACCTTCCCTCCCTCAAACAGACCTCAAGGAACAGCAATGCGCTTTCTTTATGTTTGGTCTAACACTAACAAGTCTCTGATTGGGTTGATTTCGTCCTTCCGAATTTAGTAGCAAATGTGGAGCAAGTAATTTGAGATCATAATTATCTTACTGAACGCTAATCTTTTTGTGTTGAAACAAATGTGAATATGGTATATGCTGGTGTTGCCATATCTTGGGTTTACAGAATCTAATTTTATGCTTGAATACTGACCTCCTTTGTTGATTCAGGCCTCACAGAATCTCTTTTCTCTAGCCACAAAGATGAGTATCCTGAACATGAACGAGCATCTTTGAAACAACTATATCAAGCAAAGGTTTTGATCAATTGTTTAAACATATTGATTGAAGGTACCATTCTCATTTGGGTTTAGCGTAACGACCTTAGATGTAAAACTACTATTTCTTGCAGATGGAAGAACTACGTGCTGAGCAGCTTTCTGAGTCAACCGGGACAATTGGGCGCTCTAGGGGAGCATCAGTAGCATCTTCCCCTCAGCAGATATCTGTTACAGTTGTGACGGAATTTGTCCGTTGGAATGAAGAAGCAATTTCCAGATGCACATTGTTCTCTTCTCAGGTTACATTTATTACTGAGATTTTGAACTTCTTGAATATGTATTATGCTTTTCAAGCAGGAGTTGTTTAGACATTGTCCTAATAAAGTGTCTATCTATAGGTTTTCAAGATGAGAGGTTAACATTATGGACCTTTTCGAATTTCTTTAGTTGAGAGAGAAATCTAAATCTAATACCTAGCTGTTAGACTAAGTTATTATCTTTGACAATTTCACACTCTGTATCTTATGTCTTTATTAATTTGACTTCTTAATGTCCTTCTACAGTCTGCCACCCTTGCAGCTAATGTAAAAGCAGTATTCACTTGCCTATTAGACCAAGTAAGTTGTTTAATTAAATTCTTAAAGTCTTTGGGTTCATGTCATAGATTCTCAATTTTTTCCCTCTGCAGGTTAGTCAATACATTACGGAAGGACTTGAACGGGCTAGAGACAGCCTGACTGAAGCTGCAGCTTTGAGGGAAAGGTTTGTGCTGGGCACAAGTGTTAGTAGAAGGGTGGCTGCTGCTGCTGCCTCTGCTGTAACTACTCGATCACCCACTTTTTTGCAGAATCTTTTCTGTAGCATCCCCAGAACATTATGAATGCTATAACTGAAATTGCTTGGTTGATTATAGGCAGAAGCTGCTGCTGCTGCTGGTGAAAGCAGTTTCAGATCTTTCATGGTTGCTGTACAACGTTGTGGTAGCAGTGTGGCTATAGTTCAGCAAGTATGATCATTTCCTTTGATCTTGTTTGTTTATAATTGTGCTAGCTGGTGATAGAATTATCCTTTACAGGAAAAGAAAAAAAAACTGGTAATAGAATTCTCTAATATTATGATATCTCAATCAATCTCTACTTTTATCCTTAGTATTTTGCAAATTCTATATCGCGGCTCTTACTACCTGTGGATGGTGCACATGCTGCTTCCTGTGAAGAAATGGCATCAGCAATGTCCAGTGCAGAGGCTGCTGCTTATAAAGGCCTTCAGCAATGTATTGAAACTGTCATGGCTGAGGTCAGTTATTGGCTTCCTGTAACATGCTTATTGTTTGATTATTTTTGAAATATAGCAGATCAACAAGGATTTAACTTAATGGCCATTTGCACCATATATTTCTTATTATAGTTTGTTCTGTTTTCAGCCTCTGAATTCTGAATTTCTGTGTTTTCTAATTCTCAGGTGGAACGGTTACTGTCAGCTGAGCAGAAGGCAACAGATTATCGGTCACCTGATGATGGTATTGCTCCTGATCATCGCCCAACAAATGCCTGCACAAGGTTTGTCTAACTGACATCTAGGTATCTATTTTGAGCATATCAGTCTCTTAAAATCACTAGGATTCTGGAAACTGCTTGTGAAGTTACTGTCATCATGAGCACCATATATTATTTTGATATTCTTTCTTGATGTAGAAAAGTAGTTTTTTTTATTATATATTTCTGCAGTGTGAAAGAAACACATTTAATTCATTTGTTTTTCTCATTTTAAGTGACCATTTGTCTTCTATTGTCTAGAGCTGTGGCATATCTTTCCCGTGTGCTTGAAGCTGCATTCACTGCACTGGAAGGCCTTAACAAACAGGCATTCCTGACTGAGTTGGTAAAGTGTTTTATCAGTTGAGATTTATCTTGGTCCATTTTTACTTTTGAGATTTCTCTTGATTCTTGTGTATGTAATCCAACAACTTCATTCATCCTCTTTCCCAGCATGTCTTGGTCTTATATATACATAAGAACTCCTTTACACATCTATGTTTCTTCAATAACGTATAATCACTAAAATTTATGATAGAATCTTTACTACCTTAATCACTTTAAAAGGTTGTTGAGATTCCATTTATTCTTCTACTTTTCTTAAAAGAATATTCTTGAAATCTTAGTTACATTTATTCACCACGAGCAAGGACTTGCAAGTAGTTTTAACATAGTGAAATTTGAAGTAATAATCTGCCATTATATTCAAGAGAATAAAATGATAAAATTTATTATTCTCAGGGCAACCGATTGCACAAAGTGCTGCTTAGTCACTGGCAGAAATTCACATTTAATCCCAGGTAATTTCCCTCACTCTTTCCATGAGCTGTTGAGTTTTCTTCAATATAATACGTCACGTCACAATAAAATGCTGTTGCTCTAATGCTTTGGTTGTGACTGTTTTCTGAAGAAAAAAGCATAATTCCTCTTAAGGAATTGTAAAAGGTTTTGACCGAAGTTCATAGCAACATAGTTAGAATATTTATCAGTTAAGATGAACTAGA